AGGCCCAGTACCCTGTTTTCACCAAAAATAATCCAGAATTTTGTATTCAATCAAGTATAGATGAATAATATAGTTATGTTAATATATTTGTATTGTAAATAGCAATCATTGATTTGGAAGGACTTCTTTGAGGTGACTTTGCTGGACTTTTTGAGGGGCTCTTGGTTGGATTCTTCTCAGGAGTCTTGGCTGCAGGTTTTTCTGGAGTCTTGTCTGCTTTCTTAAAGAAAGTATCCAAGAAAGTTTGGACAGATGTTCTTCATGAAAATGGGTGACAGTGGCTTGTTCGCTGTCATTGCGTCACTTCAGATCCAGCATTGTAAAGTTGGAAGTGATGTCAGAAAGTTGAAACGGTGTCAATTTAGAAACGTAAGTGCAAAATGTTGTAAGTTGAGAACTTCCTGTACTCCAGAGACTGAAAAATATTTTGTTAAATATGCAATAAGCAGACTTGAGAGATGTGTAGAACTGCTATTTACCACAGTGATTTCTCTGATAACTTGTGCAGGAGTAAAATGGGGAGCTGTGTTACCCATGCAGGTGGCTTTTGGAAAGCTGTCATATTTTGCAGCGTGCATTGCTTCAGATTCTATTAGCAACTGCAGGTTGCTAGAAAGTCAGTGTGAGATTAGACTTTTGCAATACTTGGCTTAAACCCAAAGGGTTAATAGTGTTAGGAGTCTGATTAGACATAGCTGTGAATATTTTATAGTGTATATATTTTGAAATGTTTCTAGCTTATTTGGACAAATTGTCAGTTGGCATAAGTCTAGTTAAATTCAGGGTACTGATCAAAGTACTCTTCCTATTGCTTTTCTGTTTTGCTTTATGCCAGTATAAATGACATGCTTAAAATACAGCATTTTTGGTTTTTTATCTTTAAAAAATGCTCGTGATGCTGTCCTCTGACTACCTCCCTGTTCAGAAAAGGGGGAGAGACAGAGAATCAAAACAGGGAAGAGAGGGGAGAGAGAGAGGATTAAGGGAGAAGCACAAGGTACTTATCCAGAAGCCATAGAAATCTGGGGCATCTAGATGAGGTAATAAGTGTGTGTGTGCTGGACTGTGCTAATCGATGCTTTGCTTTGGCACAGAGAAATAGAACAATCACAGTTGTCTGTGTTGAACGTGTTAAGTTTCTTGGTTTTCTTGGTAAAACAAAAACATGAACTTTTTCATTTTATTTTATTTGACACGAAGCCAAACTTCTCATTTTGCATATTTGTAAGAAAAACAAAGATGATGAAAGGCTAAGCTCTCAAAACAAAGAATAGATGTTAGTGCTCCCTCTTTACACAATAGCTCAAAGGTTCGAGTACTCTCAAAAAAATTGAGACACCCAAGTTCATTCTTTGCCTGAGAGGTTTTTATTTCATCTCCCTGTAGTGTGCAATAACCACCAGCCCTGGACGATGCAATAGAATCCAGGTCCCTGGTATCCACATAGTTTGCAACCCATTTAATTTTCAGTGGGTAGCCAGATTTTCAGTGTGGCTCTTTGCTCTGACTTTTATTTCAAAGGGTGCAGTTTTCCACGCAGCTTCTTGAAGACAACACAGCTTCTAGAAGCTGTAAATGCTGCTGGTTGGTTTGCAAACCCTTACCCTAAATTTACAAAATATCCAGGTTCAGCTGTCACTCATAATCTAGGTAAGAGTACTTAGTTTTTCCTGTTGATGCTGTTCATGTTAATATAGAATCGTAGAAAAGTAGGGCTGAAAGGGACCTTTGGAAGTTATCTAGTCCACCCCACTGCTTGAGACAAGATCATCCCTGTCCAAACTATCCTATACAAATCCTTGTCTAACATATTACTAATATGTGTGACAGATATAGTCAAATTTGTCACACAGCCTCAAGGCATGGCACCCAGACTTGCCACAGATAAAGCAGGGAGACAACTGCTGCTACAGGAGTGGTTAAAAAACACTTCAGAGATCCAAGGAACAGAGCCACACCCCCTACTATAAAGGAAGGCAACCCTACCCACTTGTAGTCTGTATCAGTCTGACCCTGAGGTAAAATTTCTTCCTGACTGGAAAACTGGTGACCAGCAGGGATCCTTTTCTCTGATTTAAAAAAAAATTCCCAATTTTTAGATCTAAGAAAATGTAACCCCAAATCGACCCTTTTCCATGATCAAAATGAAACATCACTATATATGTGTGTATTATGTGTATATATTGTGGTGGTTCATTTTGATCATGGAAAGGGGTGGATTTTGGGTTACTTTTTTAGATCTGAAAATTGGGGATTTTTTTTATCAGGAAAAAAAAGGATCCCTGGTGATGAGTGTTGTCTCCAGGCCAAGTGTTTTAACTACAAGGCTTAGAGAACAGAAGAATGAGAAGGAGTTCTAATCTCAGTGCATGCTTAAATTTGAGACAAAGATTGTATTTAGGCTAATTTCAGGTGGCTGTCTTAACTAAGTGGCTATATTTTGAGATGGGTCTTTTTCAGTCCTGAGGGAGCTGTTCTACTTTTGTATAAAAGATTTAAATAGATTTTTTTTTCCTGCGCTGGTGTGTGGGTGTGTGTGGGTATAAGTGTAGGATCTGGATCCCTGGGCTCTAGTGCCTGCTCCAGTATCCTAAACCAAAATATACTAGGAGCCTACTGCCTAAGGTGCTCTACCAGGAGGTGGAAGATGTACAACCAAATGTGCCCAGGCAGAGGAGGGAATTATATTTGGGTCTCATATCCTGGTTTAGTGCTGTTGTCCAGAACTCGAGTAAACTCAGATGTCCCATTTCTCCCCTGCAAAAAAGCTGAGCACATTCACAAAAGTAGTCTCTGGATCACTGAAACCACATTATTTATTTTCCTAGGCTTATGCCAGCATTTAAACAAAGATGCGAAATCTGATCAAAATAACTTTAATGAGCTAGAGGGCAATTGCATGACTGGGTCTATTTATGAAGCATTGCAGTGTAGGGTAGCAGTGGGAGGACTGCCAGAAACAACATAATTAGTTTAAAATAAGGATATGTCTGTATATATGCCAGTACAGCTTTCCAAATTGACTGTGTTTTTCCAACCTAAAGAAGGTTAATTTAAGCAGCATACGGTACTTATAAACCTGGAAAAAGAGATTCTGTGTGGATGCAAGGCTGTGCCATGGGGGAGGAGCTCTTGTAGATAATGTTAATTAGAAGATTATGCCACACTTAGAAACATTTTAACAGAAAAAGGGTGGAAATAATGTATTGAGGAGCTGCTTCCCTTGGTAAATCCTATTATTATGGAGAGTGTAAGAGAAATCAGAAAAGCATAACATTTCTTTATATGTATTTGTAGAGGAAGTACCTGTGAAACTTTTATTGTGTTGTGTTTTTATGAAACCTTCCATTAATTTCCGGTGAAGTTTTTGTTGGCATGTGTGTTCAACACACCATGTTATGATTGAAACCAGAGTATGATTTGAATACAGAATTGAGAACCAGGTGTTGAATTCTCATGAGCCCTAACTCTTCTTCCTTCTGTGTGGTGAGCATGTTAGTTGACACTTGTCTCCCTTTCAGTATTTGTATAAAAGGGGGAAATATTGCACTGTGCACTTCACAAGGGTAATGTGATGTTTGAATTTAACTGATGTTTAAAAGTACGTTGAACGAGGAAGGCAAGGTTCTTTGGGAAGAATTGATATCCTGTCTGCCGAGGTCCTTAGAACAACATGGCTATGACCAACAACCCTGCAACATTGAAGGAGGAAAACATTTTATAAATGAAAAAGGTTACTGCAAAAATAATTGAGCTGATGCTGCAACTTAAGGATGTGAAAACAAGAACATGATAAAATAGGTATCTACATCAGGTGTTTTGTGCTGTGGGTGTATTGTGAGGTTCAAAGCTGCTGTATTTGGCAATGTTTTGGTATCTAATTTAGCATTTCTCACTGAAGATGACTAGCGTTACCAAATATGCTAAATACGCTCTGCTTTTCTTTTGGACTTGTGGTTTTCAGTCAGGAGCTGGTGCACTGTAGGGTGCCACCAGATCCTTTTGAAGGGTTCCTGGAGGTGTGAAGAGATATGCGGATAAACCAGGTTCAGGCTTGTCTTTGCCAATGATGCCCTATCCCTACTGTCCAGCCCCGATTGTAGGAAGTAGGTACTGTAATAAATTAGTTTTAGAAATTGGGTGCTGTTCAATTCAAAAAACTTGTGGAGGCATGCCTTGAGTCCAGAAATGTTGAGAACCATTGCTTTAGAAAAACAGTAGTGAGCAGATTGTTTTATACCTGTTCTCCTACTGTTGTCAGGTAGACACTGAATACTGAAAAAAATGAAAGTGGATAGTGTTGACTTTCAAAACAATATGGTAACTTTCAGTAATGGAGGCAGAGTAGTAGTAATGCTGTTCAAAAAGCATTTATTGGTTTAAATTCTGAGCACAGTTGAGAATGGGGAGGAGAGAGAGAAGTCAACTTAATTTGCTTCTGATGGATGTTAAACTAAAACCTCTGGCTATGTAGTTATACAAAATACTGATGTATCTGTACTACTTCTTTTGCCCTTATGAGAGCCTAAACTACAGTTCAGAATAAATAATTTCCAATTCATTTTCTATTTTTAGAGCCACTAGGTGTCACTATTTATGCACATAGTATTCAAAACCTTAGATATTTTATTTGCAGTGTAGGCAAAAGCTTATGAGTAGCTTTACTATGAATGTTAGAGATGATGATGACATTTTTAGTGGTAACTTGAGTTTCATTCTTTAATGAGCAGTATAAATCCTGAAATGCAAGTACATTTTAAATGCATGTAATGGAGACTCTTGCTTTAGATTCACTTTTATCCTGTTATTTTAGAGGTCGCTCTGGATTATTTAGTTCAAAATTCAGTTAACTCTGACACTTTCCCTGCCCCTTCGTAGTGCACAGACTACAAAGACGCACTTCTCAGATCCACTTTATTTAAAATGCAGATATGCGTATCCATGATTTTTTTTTCTTGCTTTTTGATCATTGTCCATGTCCGTACTTCCTTCCCAACCAGAGGCTCACTACTGAGGAACTAAGGATACTTCTTCCACTCACTCCTATTGAGGCACAGCAGAGAGCAGCATTTAGGTCAGTAACTCTCAACTGGGTGATGCAAGACTCTTTCAGGAGTGCTGCAGTGAAGGTATGGCCAGCATGGTGTACAGACAGAATGGCCCCGCATGCCTCAGTTAATAAAAACAGGCACATCCACTTGTTGCTGCTCTTCCTGGTTTGTCTCACCCCCTTACCTTCCCCTCCCCACCTCCACACTCCTCCTGGAAACAGAGGCACCTAGGACACCTCGTTGTGGTAGTAGCACTCCAATTTCAGTCGACTGAACTACCATATTCTATGGTGTACAAGTTGTCACATTGTATAAGTCGTCTCCATAGTTCTTCTCAAAAAAGTTAGGATTTTTGTAGATCCTGTGTATAAGTCGGTCCTGCCCTGCTGGAGGGGGGGTGGGCCAGGTGGTAGGAGGGTGCCTGGGTGAGCCGGCGGTAGGGATGGCATGTGAGGCACTGGAAGTCTGAGTGGGCTTGTCTAAGTGTTGGGTTGGGTGCCTCTGAGCTTGGGCAGCACCTGGCCAGGGGGTGCTGTTGCCATACAGGGAAGAACTGGCAGCTCCCTGGCTTGTCAGCTTGTCTCCCAGGCACAGGGGAGGGATGGGAGGATGGGCAGGCTCCGCCAAAAACAGGATCGGGTCTCACTGCTTCTGCCTTCAGCAGGCTCCTGCAGCCCACAGGATGCCTGGTGCTGCCCAGGAAGGGGCTGCCTCGTTCCATGGGCAGCATGGGATGTCGGGCAGTGGCTGGTGAGGAGGTTGGGGGTGTCAGGTAGGTCTGGGTGCTGCCCAGGCTTCCAGTGCCTCCCATGCCATCCCCACCACCTTTTGCCACTGCCAGTGCACCCTGCCACTTTCCTACGCCACCCTGCCCCCCACACTGCCTGTGGAGCAAGGCAGCCCCTTCCTGTGTGGCACCAGGTGTCCTGTGGGCTGCAGCAGCCTGCTGAAGACAGAAGCGGTGAGGGGTCCGATACTGCTTTTGGTGGAGCCTGCCCATCTATCCTGTTTCTGGGGAGTGAGCTGCCACCTGGCCAGGCAGCCCCTGAGCTGCAAAGGTGGCCTAGTCCTTCCCTCTGTGGTGGCAGTGCCACCCGGGCTGTGTGCTGCCCAATTGGTAGGGTGTTAGCGTAGTGTCTGGCTGAAGCGTTGACATGGTGTATAAGTTGAGGTGGAAATTTAAGGGTAAATTTTCTTGAGTTCAAACCTCAACTTTTACACCGTGATATATGGTAAACAGGGGCACCACAATAGTGGTTCTCCACTGGCATCACAGCAGATAACATTTATGTATGCATGTATTTATTTTTTAATGATGAGGTGCCTTAAATTTACAAAAGGTTGAGAGCCTCTGAGTTAGGCAGTGAAGATGGGTTCAGAGTTGCATTGAGGGGCTTAGAGTAGACTTGAGTATCCCCTTCCCTCTGTGGGATATGTTCAGGTTCTTGAACCTACATGTGGTCATGCTATCTCTCTCTCCTTTCCTCTTTCTCAATGGCGGGACCTCTGGGGTCAGGAAAGGATCAGCATAGATACTGCCTTAATGTTTTGGTTTGTATCGGCCACCTTAATTTTTTGTTACCTGGCTTTCTTTTCCATTTAGATATTCTTTGATATTTTTTTTTAATTATTATTATTTTAATTATTTTTTATTTTATTTTCTTTATTTTTTAAGTTACTACATGCATTCTGGCTTCATGAAGATGGTATGACAAACCTTTTAAAATTTGTTTTCTATAATATTTTATATTATCTTGATATTTCAGCTTACCCTTTTCAGCTGCAAGGTTGTAATTGTTGGTCGTGTCTGTAATGAGCATAAGAGGGGTATTGGCAGTTGCCAGTTTATAGTTATTCTTTGTGTAACTTAAAAATTAATATTGACAGTTGTTAGATCCATAATTGAAACTCTTCCAGAATGTAGAGCAATCCTTCTGTCAGCTGCCAAACATGTTCTCTCCAGAAGGCGGTTGTTGTTAAAACATGGCACTGTGACTTGTTTTAGTACTCATGGTACTTGCTATTAATACCACAGAACAGCATCAACCAGTTTTTTTCTAGAGGGAATAAAGAGCATGATACTTGACAGGTCATTAGTTATATCTCTACTCTTTTTATTTTCTGCACAGTCTTAAAAAAAAATATGTATTTGTCTTTTAGAAAAAGGAAGCTTCCAGTTGAAGTTTTACAGCTGTAGCTTAACTTTCTAACAGGCCTATAAATCTGGGGAGGAAAATAATTTTGCTACGATAGATGGAAGTCCCAAATGACATGTGTGGGTGGCTTTTTGGATGTTTGTGGGGGGGGGGAGGTTGTTTTTGTTTAAAGCTTTGAGTGAGATTACAAAGCTCTTACTAATATTGCTGGTGATTTTATTCATGAAAATAGCCCCACTTGTGTAAATGAATGCTGTATGCTTTTAAAATTAGAATTTAATTTTTAAAACGGTTCATCTTGTAGTGTATAAACAGTCAAAGTATATAGTTTTGCATGAAGTCACAGTCAAGGCAATATAATAAACAATATCTGCAATAGTAAAATGGTATACAAAACTTGGTACACTGGAGGGCTGCTGCTCTAGTATTGAAAGCTGACTTCTACTGATAGCTTTGTTTCAATCTAACTTTTTTCTTCTTTAGGGTGACATCTGTGAACCCCATTTTATAAAACAGCTTTTTGAAAGTGAGAAAATTGATATAGTCCTACATTTTGCAGCACAAACGCATGTAGGTGAGCATTATTGCATGTTGTTACAGTGATAAATGTACTAGATGCGTGTTGCTTGAAATAAGTAACCTATTCATGTTGTCTGTTTTCATTGTTTCCCCCCTTCATATTACATTAAAGAACCATAGTATTCTGTTTATAGCAGTTCAAAGTAGCACTGCTATGATTCAAGGTCTGTTGGTATTTCCATTATACACCTGTTTTTAGGGGTTTACTGTTTGTCATAAAACAATGCCTCAAGGTAAGACTACAGATGTGGGAAGTCTCAACTAGGGAGTATTGCTTAAAACAAATTTGACACCTAAGGATATTGTACTACTACCTGGCCATCACCTGTTTTATATCTTTTTGAACTTTATCAAACTGTGTGTTTAACTACATTTTTGTTTTTAAATTGTTAACAAATCTGTTCAGGAGCTTATGTGCAATTGCCCTGGAATAGCCATACATGTATCTAGAAAACAGTTTTAGGAGTTTAGGTCCTGGTTTGTAAAAATGAGCTTCCAGTTTTTAACATACTTTCCTGAAGTTTTTAACAATTATTCTTGCAGTTTATGCTTGGAGACAAGGTAAAAGAGAATAGCATTGAGAGAGGAAATATTTTAAACCAACAAACAAACCCCCGCTCCCCCAAATTTGGGTCCTAATGTAATTCTATATTTACTTTATTTAATAGAAATTGTCAACAGAAGTCCACGAGATACTCCGTTGCCTTTAGCTTCCTTGATCCTAGCTACTCCTAGCAATCTAAACAGAAGAATTTCAAGCAACTTCAAGGTGTCCGCATAGAGTTAATATAGAATAGCAGTTGTGCTTTAAATTTGCATCCTAGTCTATTCTGCCCCAACTTCCCCTTTAAAAATAAGACTTTAATTTTTCTATATTAATGTAGTTTTGCCTTTTGGGGTGTACTTACACTTTGTTCCAGTAAAGATTTTTCTGAAGATATCACCTGTAAATGGTTTGAAACTAGAAATTTGCATGCATGAGGACTTTAATGTAACCTTTTTCATCTGATTGCATAGTATCTTATCTAATAATAGTTTAATGTTTTGATATTGTACTGCAGGTGACTGCTGTATTGATGTGTATTTGTATAACAATTCAAGTGCCATTTTTAACTTAAGTTAACTTGTAGTAATGTAAATGCAAGTGTAGATACTCTACTTTATCTTGGCTTTAGTTCTTCTTACTGTTTAACTATCAACAGGGATCCTGGTTTACTCTGATTTAAAAAAAAAAAAATCCCTGATTTTTTTTTTTTTTTTTTCAGTTTAAAAAAAAAAAGGTAACCCAAAATCTACATTTTTTTTTTTTCTGTGATCAAGCTGACACACCACATATATTAGTGGTGTTTCATTTTAGTCATGGAAAAATGTAGATTTCAGGTTCTGTTTGTTTTACTTGTGGGGGTTTGTTTTTTTGTTTTTGGTTTAACTGAAAATTGGGGATTTTTTTAAATCGGAGAAAACCAGGATCCCTGATTATCAAGGAAAACTGTTTATTATCAAGAAAAAACACTTTGTGCTGTGGAACAAATGTATGATATATTATACTTGCATTGAGACATTTGTTTAATTAAACACATCAAATAAGTTAAAAGAACATCAAAAGCTCTAATCCTGGCTGTGTCATGAAGTGGTTTGCTATTAATATCTTCTTGTGTTATTTCCCCTATTTTCTTCCCTGTTAAGATTATAACAGAATGAGTTCTCTTTCATTTCTGAAAATTTAGATCTTTCATTTTGGCATGCTCTGGAATTCAGATATGTGAATGTTTATGGTACTCACGTTCTGGTCACTGCTGCATATGAAGCCAGTGTGGAGAAGTTTGTTTATGTCAGTACAGATGAAGTGTATGGAGGTAGCAATGATGAGGTAAGCAGGGAAGTGCTTCAACATTTTTGGGGTTTTTTACCTCTCCTTTTATATAAATAATTTTTAAAAGAGTTTAAACAAAACAGGTTTTTAAGATTAATTTACCCCAGCTTTTTGAAAATAATGCAGGCCTGATTTCTGAAGGTGTCTTGGCTTGTAAACAGGCACTGATTTTTGTTACTAATGCTTAATTTAGTATTAAGCCTCTTATTGACTGTTTGTGATTGGTATAGTGAATCATACATGAAGTGTGTGAAGCAACTGATTTTTTTTTAAAAAAATTGTTTGCCTAATCTTACAAGCAATATGGAATGAATGTACTGCTATAAATTCTGTTCCAGGAGTTGTTTGAGTTTGTCCTTATCAAAAGAAAACAAAAAAATTGTGTTCACTTTTTCTTGTCTGTCTGTCAACTTGGATTGTAAGCTCTTTGTAGCAGGAAATTGGTTTGTCATATACTTAAAATATCTGGCACACTTCAGGCATGATTTGAAATGATTAGTTCATCAGTACAAAAAGTAACTATTTTAGGGAAAATATTATGGCTTCCCATCTGTGAACAACTACTGCTAACCACCAGGGAATATTGTACAATTTCAACTGCAGCCATTTTAGTGCAGAAAGAGTGAAGAAATTCTGTTCCTTACAGGAATGGATACTGTAGGCTCAGGTATTAACTCTTATATAGTCAACCTTTGTATCTATAAGAGCATAGTTAGAGGATTGTCATTTTGGATTAGCACTTTGTTAGGATACGTATCACAGCCATCCAGGAATGAGAACAGGGGTTGTTTGCTCTTTTTGAAAGATCATACAGTTCAGAGTATGGTTGGGCATGGTTCTGGTGACCATGTGCAAGGCTATTAAGATGAAAAGATGTGGCAGAATGATTTGTGTGTTTTGCCTGAGAAGGTTGATGTTTTCTCAAGATAAGTTGCATGAATGCCATTGCTGTAGCAGATAGCATCAGATCACCTCCACTACCAAGAGTTGGATTGTGTCTGTAGATTATCAAGATAAGAATTAGTTGCATCTCTGCATTCTGAGACTAAATAGACAAACTCAGATGATTTTATTTTGGGTGCACTTTCTCTGCCCTTGAGCCTTTGCCTTCCTGTGGATTTGTTCTCTTGAGGTCTGCTGTGTATAGCAGCTTGGGAAATGAAATGAGCCAGGACTGGTTCTGCAGTGTCAGTCATCTATTATGTGAAGTATAAAGAACAGAGTGCTGCTTCAGTAAGAAATCATAGAGTAAGAGATTAGCTGACTGCTTATATCTTGCTGATCACCATGAGGCAGAGTTTCCAGTACCTATCTTGGCTGTGTGAGAAGTAGCTAACTGATGACTGAACCAGATTAGATAAAGCTGTCGTCCCTTTTCTGCAGTTCCTAGTATCTGTCTGTTTCGGGTGGTGGGGAGAAGAATTGGCTCTGGCTTGTTAATTTGTAGCAGGTGCCCAAAAAACAGTAAGCCAATTCATCTTTTGATCCTTTTGGAACAGGGCCAGAATTGATGAAGCCTTGCTTTGGAGAGCTACCAACTACAATTTTGTGGGTTTTGTAGCCTGATCTTTCCCCTACTCCCTCCTTCCCCCACAACCCCCACACACTTCATCAAGAGTGGAGGGGTGTGGTAGAGGGTAATCAGTATGCAGATCGGGCCCTGAACTTGGATTTGGCAGTAGCGTTGCACTTTTGGTCAATGGGAATATGAGCGAAATGGAGCTCCAGGCCAAGTAACTTAATAAAAATGTGTGGGAGAATTATTAGCAGTGGTAAAATTGTTCTTGGTTTGTTTTACATTATGTAATTTTAATTTTTTCCGTTCTATTCTGTGGTTACAAAGCCTAAAGAAAAAACTTCATAGGGTAACATTTTATTTAAAAGCAAGTTTCTCTAGAATGTATTCTTACCAGAGTTGGTTTTATAATCTGAGCAACCCACTTGAGGTATTAAATTTACAATCAGGCATGTTAGTGTGCCAGTTATGAGGTATAGGTACTAGCTGCAAAATGCAATTAAGTATCTGAACTGTTTTTAAACGATTAATTTAAACTTTGTCATCAAATGAAGTCCTCTCATGAAGTCCAAATAGCAAAAGGATTCAGAAACTTTCACCAGCCAGAATTGAATGATGGTGAGTTGGACCAGTAAGACACAGGTGTGCAACAATAACAGATACTGTTTTGTAATTATTGCTTCATGAAATATCAGGAAACAGTTTTCATAATTAATTTATGAATATTTAAGGTACTCTGTATTTATAAGAAAAAGAGCTATTGGTTTTGATATTAATATCATTGATAGCCAATATTTTATTATTTTAATAATCTAACTTATAAGATTTACAGCCAGAACATGTCAGATTATATGATTTTGTTCAATAGTTTATTCAGAAGATTTGATGCAGTTGTTCTTGGGATTTTTCAAAGGTCTTTCATCCTGGGAGTCACATAATGTTGATTCTCTGGGCAGTATTCTTCTCTCAAAGGTGCCCATCCTCCATAGTGCACTGTGTGAACAGACCTCACTGTTCGTGCAGCGAAGGTCTGAAGGACTGGGACTTAAGGATTTTGTCTAACATTCAAGTAGTGTTAAGAGGTGCGTGCAGTTAATGTCTCTGTGTTGCTAATGCACTTCCTATGGAGATGGTGGTTTGCACAAGGTGGAAATAGGGTGTGATCTGTCAAGGACCTTTAATGGATGTAAGGAGGTTAGTTTAGCCATGGCATTGTTGCCTATTTCTGCTATTGGTAGTCATGAAGCCTGTTTCTCTTTTTTTTCTCTTGCTTTTATGATGCTATCTTCACCTCCAGTACTGTTGAACATCTAATGTGTTCTGTTCCCTGTGTTTGAAAGAAAACGTTCAGACTATGACATCATTATGAAGCCTGTCTAGCATTCTGGGATTCTTTTGGATAAAAGATACTGCCTAAAGCACGTTATCATTCATATTGATTTATTTTAGGAGTTCGATGAATCCTCACCCAAACGACCAACAAATCCGTATGCCTCATCCAAAGCAGCTGCAGAATGCTTTGTTCAGTCTTACTGGGAAAGATACCAGGTAAGCTTATGCATGCTTCAGGAGCTATAAAGTTTTTTTTGTACTAGCCTATTTGTCTTAAGAGTATCAAAAGAAAATGTATTAACCACAGTGTAGACACAGTGCCACCTATTCCTGGATTTGCAACTTTGTGTATGCACTGTATGCCTATCTTATTACCAGGGATCATGGCTTTCTCTGATTTAAAAAAAACCCAAAAAAACTTCCGAATTTTCAGATTGAGGAACCCCAAATCCACATTTTTCCATGATTTAAAATGAAACAGCACTATATACAGGGTGTTTATAAAGTCCTTGTACAATTTTAAACTTTAATAACTTTGGATGTACACATGATAGAAACAAACTGTAAACGGTGATTGAAAGCATAATTCATTACATTTTAACACAATACAGCTCAAATTTCTAAACTGCAGCATAAGTGCCATCTTTCATGATAAATCATTCAATCCAATTTTCCAACTCATAGAAAACATTTTCCAGTTGCTGCTGAGTGATTTCATGAATTGCAGTTGTGATCCTTACCCTGTGCATAGTTTGTACTATACTAAAAAACTTAATGAATTATGCTTTCAATAGCCATTTACAGTTTGCTTCTATCATGTGTATATCCAAAGTTATTAAAGTTTAAAGTTGCACAAGGACTTAATAACCACCCTCTATATATTAGTGGGGTTTCATTTTAATCAAGGAAAAATGTGGATTTTGGGTTACTTTTTTAAATCCAAAAATTGGCCATTTTTTTTTTTTATTGGAGAAAACCAGGTCTCTATTTATTACTTAAAGTGTTACCTGTCTTATTACTAAAAGTGCACCCCTTCCCCCCCCGGTATTTATACAGTTCTCTCAATCTCTCTCTCTCTCTCACTCAGCTATGGATTTCAATATTGTTATATTTTTCTTTTCTTGTCAGTTCAGTCAAAAAGAACTAGTGTATTTACCTGACTTCTAGGTGACTGAATTTTTAAGATGACACCCCCCCAATAATTAAATTCCGTACATGGGGAAATGTGTAAATTTCTTAGAATTTTGCACCTATAGAATTTAATTATTGGAAGATCGTCTTAAATGTGTCCCATCCCATTTTCCACTCTGCTGGGGAAGGCAGTGGCGGTGCTCCCAGCCAGCGGTGACAGTCAAGGAGTTGGGGAGGGAGTGGGGGGAGCAGTGGGGGACAGGCAGTGTAGAGGTGATGTGGAGGGGCAGACAGGCTGCTTAACCTGGAGCCTGTCCGCCCCAGCCCCCCCACCTACTTCTAGCTGCCTTGGCGGCCCTGATTTCTCTCCCCCCTCACTTCCCCCAGTGCTGTTTCTGCCCCCCCAAAGGCTTGAACCCCCACCCCTGGTTTACTCCATACTGGCAAGCTTTCTTTGTGCTGTGGCCTGGGGCATGGAACATGGCCCTGTATCACTAATGTGGTCCTAAGGTTGTGGGGAGGGAAAATGGGGCAGCGGCCAAAAGCTGCTGGGGGGGCAAGGGGGCATGGGCAGGGAAGGCTGAGGGGGGGCAGGGGCCTGAGGTTGACAAGGGGAGAGGCAGGGATTGTGGAGGCAATGAGAGGTCAGGCAGCAGCTGTGGCTCTGGCGGTTTGGGCCAGAGCTGCAGCAGTGGCATTGCTACCTTGCATTTGAATCTAAGATAAGGGCCTTTCTTCCTGATGTTAAATTGGGGCAAAAATGTCATTTTGGGATTGAGTTAATATGGTATTTAAACTAGGAAACTAGTTGATGCTAAATGTAAAAAAACAAACAAACCTAATACATTAAAAAAATGAAGATCTGAAAATGTTAAGGTACCCTAGGTATAAACAGACAATTTTGGGGTGGGAAAGTTGAAGGGGTGAAGTCTTTTTTCCAGGATCCTACAGACATACCACTGCTTTAAGTACCTGTTAAGTATGCACAATTAAAATATGCTAATACCTTTTTCCCAGGAGAATGTGTTGTACCTTTGTGAGTTAATAGCTCCTCATTCAAGTTAATTGCCAATCATTCCAAGAACAAGCCTGCTAGGCTGTGCCAGTCACATCCCAGCTTAATCAACACCATGTTAAACCTGTTGTCTGTTTTTAGTTTGAGCATCACTGAAGCTTGGAAGATGTGTGTGTAAATGGTTGTGTTGCTCCTTTATTGTCCCAGGTTTTTACTGAGATAAATTGGGACTTCCTCAAATAGCATTAACTCTGTTTCTAGCTGCCTAGTATTCCTTTATTTTCTTTTAGTTGCTAGTCAGATGATTGTCATAGCAGTTTAATTTTTAAAGAGCATTTTGTTTCTACCTTAGCATTTGTAGGCCATTACTTGATTTTTGCAGTGGCTTCTTTGGCATGAGGAGGAATAGAATAGACTTTTCTTAAAAAAAACAAAACAAAACCCACAAAACTAGAAATAAAGTATTGATAGATATACTTTTTAGCTGTTTAGGTGTACATGGTTATAATGTACTTTAGAAAGTAATATAAATGAAATTTGGGAATAGGAAACTTACTGTTTTTCACAGATAGAACCCAAACAGTAAAGTAGTAGGTACTTGCCTATCTGGTGGCTGTGTCTTTAAGCTTTCATTTAATGTTCATGAAGTATTTGCAGACTTTTGAATAGGCATTATCCATGCGTAAATCACTGAAGTTTGACTACTAAAGAAGCTAGGGTAATTTGGGTCCAACAACCTTGTTAGTTACAACTGTCCAAATGAGGCTTGTTTAATTATATCCTTAATTTTTTCTAAAGTTTCCAGTTGTTATTACACGAAGCAGCAATGTTTATGGACCTCATCAGTATCCAGAAAAAGTAAGTTACATATGTGCTTTATTCTGAGTGCTAACTCATTATACAAATGAATTTTCAATGACTATTATACCATGCTATTTCCTCACAATCAGAATATACTGTATTCCAAAGAAAAATAATTTGTGGTCACCCTGAGATAGCAAAGTCTGTTTTGGGTGAATGACTTACATAGGTGATGCAGAAAAACGAGATTTCTGAATTCCAACAACATATTTGGTAGTACTTTTCAAATTTCTATGGGGATATTGTTACAAGTGTTATTTTTTAACAATGTTACTAGTTTTCAAAGGTAATAAACTTGTACCTACTAGAATGCTACAAAAATTGTTGTTAATAACCATTTTAATTTCTTTGTTCTTTGATATGGCAGCATGATTAATGTTTTTTGTTTGTTTGCTTGCTTTAAAGCAGTATGAGCTTCCTTAATTTGCAGGAGGCGGGACAGGGTGATCCCTTTATAGATTAACTCATTCAGAGAGGCATGAACCCAGAAAAGCTCAGGGTTCTCTGAATGAGTTAGTTTATAAACTGCCAACCTGCCTTCTGCCTAAATTCAGTGTAACATGGCTAATTACCTCTCTAGCAATTTACTGAGGTAACTTAAGGCATGAATGACAGAGCATCTGTCATCATGACCAGGGGTGCTGGTTTTCTCTGCTTAAAAAAAAAAAAAATCCCGAATTTTCAAATTGCACATTTTTTCATGATTAAAATCAAACACTACTAAAATCTCTCTCTGAGAGATTGTGATGTTTTGATTTAAATTGCAGAAAAATTTGGATTTTGGGTTACTTTTGTTTAACTGGAAATTGGGGATTTTTTTAAAAAATCTGGATCCCTGGTCCTGACTGCCCATATACATGCTCTTATCCCTTGCTAAATGAAAAGTTACTTATTTTTCTACCTCACCTTTAGTACGTGGTAAGAGTTTGCATGTTGGTAGTTATAGCATGTCAGCTATTCTGTGATAAATTCACATCCTTGCTTACCTTGTTAGTTAAGGGGCCCATACTCTTGCATGTAAAAGGACTAAGGCATCATCAGTGAAAACAAAAATAAATGGATGGGACCTGAAGCAGTTGGTATTTGTGTTGAGAAAATATAAATGTACTCTTGCTTGCATTTGCCCAGGAAAGTAGTTGTAATATGATACTAGAGGAAGGGATTTCCTTTCATAGTAATTATGCCAAGCACCCTGGTGTAATTGGGAATTGAAATAGAACAAAAGCAGTGAAACATAATAAACCTTTGGTGAAACTAGCAGCATTCTGGTGAGATTGTGCCTTTCTCACTGTTTCTGATTTTTGGCATCTAGGAAAGAATTGGAGGAATCATTGGTAACTCAAATAAAAACAATAAAGAAAACTAAGCTCTAAATTCATTGACTTATCGAGTTAGAATTGGTTTAAGTGTATAGCTGTATTGCCTCAACATACTGCCAAGTGGGGTGGGGAGGGAAGGAACAACAAATTTAATACCTCACCAAGCATTTTCAAGTTCTCTGGAATATTCTTAATGAATCTTTGTAGTTGGATTAACTTATAAATTTAACACGCACACAGCATGGAAATCTTTAACCTACAACTTAATACCCTCAGAGTTTTTCACTCCTGTTTCTTTGACACATGTGTTTCATTTAAATGGCAAAACCTGTAATGACTATTTGTGGCTTTATGATTTAACTTTGTTACAGGTTGCTGGGCTTTATCCTGCTCAGAAACATCTGAGTCAGGGATGTTTAGCATATGGCCTGTGGGCTGGATTCAGCCCATGAAGCTGGGTCATCTGCCCCTTAGAGTTTTTTACCACAGTTACCAGCAGCCAGGGAGTTAACACTGCTGCTGTCCAGCCCTGTTAGCATCAGCATGGCAAGTGTGCAGGAGTGAACACTGCTAGAGAATGTAGTTTTCAGTCACTGATGGCAGCTAAAATTGATGATGTTCACCCCCTGAGATGATAGCTGTACTAAAGCTGCAGCTCTGGCTGCCATGGCTCTGCTGGTTGAGTGATGGCAGCATTAACTCCTTGGCTGCTAGCACCAAGACAGCAGTGCCAGCCCTCACAGCCAGAAATAGTGGTCTGGGTCTGGCCTGTGAGGAGCCCTATGCTCCCTATCTGGCATATAAGGCTAAATGAATTGGGCATCCCTGATTTAAGTGATATTGTCTAACCATGCTTGCTTGCATATGTTTATCCTTTGTGGCCTTACTTGAGTGTTTGGCCCCCTTTTAATCTTGTCTAGGTTTGTTTGTTTGGGTTTTTTTGTTTTAATTACCTAGAGTAAACTTTTTTATTTTGTTTTTTACTGTTTCAGGTTATTCCAAAGTTTATATCATTGTTGCAACAGAACAGGAAATGGTATGTAACTTAATTTTTGAAATTTTTTTTTCTGGGTTTTTTGCAGTGTGTATGTGATGGACAAGTTTTAATTAAAATTGCAGTCCATTCAGTATACCTTAAATGATCATTTGAAAAAAAAAATGAATCTAAATGCTTAGCTGAATAAGGCTAACTTTGGATTTTTAGTTAAATTTTTAATGTGGAACTTCTCAACATTTTTAAAAATTAAACAATTTTCTTTCAAGAAAAAAACATCTTGCGTATGGAGTGTCTACTTAACACATTGAACTCCATGTTGATAGAATAATCACATACTTTTGTGTTAAAGCTCTGACAGAACATCTTTTTTTCCTGTTTAGCTGCATTCATGGTTCTGGGCTTCAAAAAAGAAATTTCCTTTATGCCACTGATGTAGTAGAAGCATTCCTTACTGTTCTAAAGGAGGGGAAACCAGGTGAAATTTATAACATTGGAACCAATTTTGAGATGTCCATTACACAACTTGCTAAAGAATTAATACAGTTAGTAAGTAAACCATGTAAATGGGGTTTGGGGGTCGTCATTAATTAACGATCATATATGTGTGTAAAATCCCTTTTACAGTAAAGGGGATTTTAATTACTGTATTTTCCTACATACCATGTGTACCTTGTTTTGGGAAGGTTGAATGAGGTCATAGCTGAATCCCAACTGTTGCTGCTCAGTCAAAAACTACAGTTTAACTGTCTTGCAGTCACTATTGTATTGGCAGTAACTTTCTTGGCATCTGTGAAAAGGTTAAAACTGATGCTGAAGACTACACTGCATCCCTTCCTCCTTGGTTCTTGGAGCTGTCATCCTTTCCAAATCATTGCAGTGTCCCTGTGATTCAGTTTTGGTGGAGAAATTGGCTTTCTCACTTAAATCATGCATCATACTTTTGGAGGGCTGATTTTTGGAGACTGGGCATATGGTGTGCAAGTAAATATGGTACATTTAACTTAACTTAGGGCTTGGGGTGGGAAAAATCATGATTTTGGCAGCCTTAAAGTAGCATGCTGATCTACAGAACAGGTAGTACACAATATGCAAAATACCACTGTAAGCTATTCTATACAGTAACCCCGACATAGAAGAAATGACCTGTAAGTCTGAAGGAATTCAGTCTCTGCATTATTGCATGCTAACTTAGTTCTCCTGACCACAGCACGCTGATGTCCCCATCACAAAAAATACTGGCACCGAGCACTGAAAAAAATTTATATCTCGACATGGTCTTCAGATAGGCTAATGCCATCAAGTGACTAATACTTTTGATGTTAGTTGTTTTGCTCATGGACGTGGAATTGCCAAAAAAATTAATAAAGCCCACTGTAACTGACCAATTATACAGAATTCAAGTACAGTATAACCTTATAAATCTGGCATGCTTGGGACCAAGCACCTGCTGGAAACTTGAAAAATTCTACATTTCTGAAAGCAGAGCAGCAGCCAGTCACGGATGGAGAAGGGGGGATAGTGGTGCCCAGTCCTGGAGCAGTGTCTGCACATGGAGTGGCTGCACAGGGTGGTGGATAGTGGCGGCAGCCACCGTGTGCAGGCTCCCCCTTGCGCTGCTCCAGAACTGGCCTCTGCTACTCCCCAATGTAGCATATTTTTTAAAAGTGCCAGATTTTTTATATCTGGATTTATGAGGTTATACTGTATTAAGTAGTTGAGGTGCCAGGGAAAGCATGGTCATTGGAACTGTAATAATCCTGACTGTTTAGAACAAGGATTTTCAAGCTTTTTTTAACAAGTGTACCCCTTCTGTCTTAAAGCTTCAGCTCAAGTACCCCTTTAACTTAAAATTATTTGTGGGGTTTGAGTGTATGTGTACACCCTCCCATCCCCGCCCCCCAGCAGGTAAGTCTAAAGGGGAGGGGGAAAGTGAGGCCCCTGCTATGAGAGAAGAAGTGAAGCAGGGGCTGCGGCAAATGGGGCCCCGGCCAGACCAGGTCATGGGGTGATCAGAGCCTGGGAGGCTCATCCGGGGACGGGGGGGTGGCTCTCACCGCTGCACGCACCCTGGTGGAAGCCTGAGGGGCCCATGCCTCCCCGCAGTCCGTGTGCAGGGTGAAGTTGGTGTCGCTGCACACTGGGCTTTGTGAACTGCTGCGGCTGCTCTAGGACTAGTGCAACGCCACATGCGTCCCACTACTGGCTGGCGGGGGTGCAATGCAGCCCAGCAGTGGCAGGCACGTGGCGTTGTGCACTGCTGCCCTAAGAGCAGTGCAAAGTCCAGCATGTAGTGGCAGCCGCCTTCACTCTTTGCACAGATTGGGGGGTGGGGGTGGTGGGATACGTGTCTCCTGGGCCTCTGCCAGGGTATGCACAGTGGGGGGAGCCCTCCTGTATCCCCTGTGAGCTTTTTAAGTACCCCTAGGGTATGTGTATCCCTGGTTGACAACCACTGGTTTAGAACAATGACTTAATCAACCTTGCCTAATAAAATTTTTTTGAAATTTAGATGAAATAATACCTGGTAGTAGGTTTCAGTGTCCAGTGTTAAATTTATATCTTTAGTATTTTAAGTGCACACTGATTCTTATGCATAACAGTTGGAACTAATTGTATATTGTAGCCAAGTTTTTAATATGGGAAATGATGTGCTCTTTTCTGCCTTCCAGATAAAGAAGACCAGTACAGAATCTGAAGTGGAACACTGGGTGGATTATGTCAAAGACAGGTGAGGTACTAATTAGTCGATTCACCCCTGACTGTTAATTACAAGTAAGGGGATGTTATCCTAAAGTTTTGTGGTGTTTTTGTTTTGTCTCTAAAACACAAGACCTCTTATAACATTGCAAAGACTTGGTTTTGGGTTCTTCTGATGGCCTTTTGTGTAATTTCATGGTATTTAAATTTAATCTATACAAGAATGGGCATGAATATTAGAATGTTCAGATAACAATATAGATTAGACTATGACATTTATGATGGATCTTAACTCTAAATTGTAACTTGCTTAATACCTTATCACCAGGGATCCTGGTTTTCCCTGATAATAAATTGCAAATTCTCTGATTTAAAACCTGAAAATCTGTGAGTAAAATTAAAGGCTCTCCAGGCCTGCTGGTGCCCCTCACTCCCCCCAACAGCAACCCCCCAGCCCCACACATGCAGGCATGCAGGTGCTGTCACAGAAGCGCAGACAGACACAGAGGCGCAGGCACAATTCAGCAAGTGTGGGGAGAAGGGGTGGGGTGGGGATAATGGCAGGGGCTGGGGGAGCCAGATCTAGAATGGAGGAGGGAGGGTGTGTCTCTGTGCCCGCTCCCAGGAGCAGGGTTGGAGGGGAGGGGGCAAGGGCAGTGGTGCCCCCCTGTGGGCCACACACATGCTGCCCTGCCAGACAGGAGTGGGGGGTTTGCACACAGCAGCTGCTGCACCCTGCGCTGCTTTGCCACAGCTGGTGACACGTGGCACTGTGGGCAAATGGCACGGGGCAGTTGTGGTGGCAGATAAAAACGGGAAATCTGTGGTTTTCTCTTGTTTTTAGGGGGGGAGGGGGGTTGTTTTGTTTTTTGTGGGAAACGGAAAACCTGGATCCTTGCTTATCATATTCAGTATTACTTAGGATGGAAAATACTCTTTTAAACCACTGCTTCTTTATACATTTTTTTCTTCCTTTCCTTTCTATTCCCTTGCCTCCACAATGACTGCTGCCTTCCTTTAAGCTCTAGTCCCAGCCTGCTCCATCTAAAACCAATCAGCAACAGAATAGTTAATGTTGACAATGGCTTCAGAGTTCTTAACTCAGTGAGAGTAACAGAACCCATACATTTTGCATCTCTCAGATCACTGGTTCAGTCTTTCCACAGATCTAAGAAGGCAGTTGTTTTATTAGTTACGCTGTTCAAATTTGGAAGGTCATTCTAGCAACCATGAGAGCTTGTAATTTATTAGAAAGGATATAACTACAATCTGAATATGTTGTGGCAGCTACAGAAGCACAGGATTTTGGCCCATGTAACCTTCTAGTTCTGCATTTGACACTTTTTGTTATAGATAAAGTGCAATAAATCCTGGCATAATTTTGCCTGGGATTTTTTTACAGAATTTGGGACCAGACAACCCCCCAGAAAGTTGGCAAAAATAGTATTGTCTTACAAAAACTAGATCTTCTGTAAAATGTGAGCATTGCCTCGTACTATAAACAAATATGATGGAAGAGTGAAAAAACTAGCCCTGCAGTTTAGATTTCAGTAAAGAATTTTGGTGGCAAAAATAACAATTTATACTGTTTGATTTAAATATTCAACTTCTTTACTGTGTCTGGAAGTAATTTGCCTAAGAAAAAACTTGGTCTATGCTATAGACACTGTGTTTTAGTATAATTTCATCTTTGGCTACGAGTACAGTCAAACTCTATTTAGCGCCAATTATCTGTTGTCAATAATAGGAACACTTTCAGAATATAGGTTATTACTTGCTTCACCAACATTGACTGTGTTTGTATAGTTGTAAGCTAGTAAGCAGCATGCTAGATAAAAAGTAAAATACTTGTTACTGGATCTTGATAGCTTTGGATTATGTAATTTGAACTTTGTGGCCATGTCCAGACAAGCGCAGGCATGTGGTACCACAGACCCCACATGCTGCATATGCTATTTTGCAGCATGGGTTTTTTTTTAAAAAAATCTATAACAAAGAAAAGTCGGGCAGTGCACATGGTAGCAGTGTGCGCCACTCAAAACCATGGCTTGGCTGGCCAGAGCCACAGTCCAGCTGCCAGCCAGGCTTCCTGTTGTGGCTGCAGCCTTGGGAGGCCCCCAGGACCCCAGGTTAGGCTGTTGGGGCCAGCACACTTTCTGGCCCCGGCCTCTGCTATTCCACCCGGGGTAACCTGCTGCATGCCAGCACACATGTGGGATGGACATTCCCTGGGGACAAGTAGCAGCAGTACAAGATGTGCGATTACTACTTGTCCCCAAGGAAACAAATGACTGTGCTCATCTGGATGTACCATGTATGTTGTCTAGAGTAGTAACTTTAACACTGGGCGAGTCCAGACATGCGTGGATGTTTGCTTCTCCGGGGACAGTTAGTAGTGGCACACCTTGTGCCACATAGTTCTGGGTGGCCCAGATCCTCTTTTCAGCAGCGCATGCTGCCCAAGTGTGCACTGCTTGGTTTTTTTTTTCCGCAGGTTTTTCTTGACCCCTGGACATCCAGGGTTCAAAAAAATCTGTAGAAAAAACAAAAACAGAGCAGCGCACACTTGGGCCGTGCCCCCTTGCAGCGTGGGCTGTGCAGTATGTGGTGCTGGAAAAGTGTTTGCAGCACCACATACCACACAACCATGCTTGTCTGGATGTGCCCATTGGGGTTAAAGTTACTAGGAAGCTTAAATTTCTAATATCTTCTGCAATTGCGAGTGCTAAGTTTTATATATGCACAATGATTGGTTCTGCCCATGTAATTTCTAACTACACAATACTCAGGTGCCCAAAAGAGACTCATTCATATAAATGCTATCCATATTGCAGTGTACAAGTGAGTCTTCAAGCTAAATGTGCAGTGTCATAGTTGCGTAAAATAGCCTTATTTTGGAATAGTGGCATAGTGAATCTAATTTGTCAGAGTGGAAAATGTTTTGGTTCTGTTAGTCTTTTTAAATACTCTTTAATATGATGTTTTGAAGTTGCTATAGACCAAAATCTGTGCAGACTATTTATCAAAATTGTTATGCTTTTAACTGAACTAGTTTTTTTTCTGTTTGAATATTTTTTTTTCTTTTTTTTTAAGACCTACCAATGACATAAGATATCCAATGAAGTCAGAAAAAATGCACAGTTTAGGATGGAGACCTAAAGTGCCTTGGAAAGAAGGAATAAAGAAAACAAGTATACCACTTTTAATACCATTGATTAATTGGAGGGTAACAATTGGGGGGAGGGGAAGCTTTTCTCCTTTTTAAAATCTGAAAATAGTGGCATAATCTCATGGGTAGCTAAAAAATTAACTTGACACTTCCAATAAGGTAGAATAATGTTTTGCATAAGGATTTTTACAAAGAGTCCAAATATAATCTGACTACTCTTATCACAGAAAACAAATTCTAAACAATTTGTTCCTAAACTCTTAGTGGTGTTGTACCTGAAGAAAAAATTAGTGTATGTGAAAACTTGTATATTTGTTTTATTCTAACCTATGTGTCTTTATTTTTCCTTTACGTTAGTTGAATGGTACAGAGAGAACTTTTACAACTGGAAAAATGTGGAGAAGGCTTTGGAGCCCTTCCCTGTGACCCAACCTTTTATGCATATTGATTCTTCATAGAGTAGAAGGAAGAGCATAAAGAAAATTCTACCTCGGGACCATTTTGTCAACTTAAACCTGCAATCAAGTGACAAACCTACAGTAGTTTCATCTATGTGGAGAATTGTGCTTAATTTAACTAAAAATCAGAAGGATTTTAAGAACTTTTTCACACTTGATTCTTTATTATAATTTTAATATATTTAAACTTCAGCTTTCAGTGCAATATTAAATTTTTTTATAGGAATTTTAAAATAAGGAATTCATCTGGATGAAGATTTTTATAACACTAAATTGATACAGTTGTTACACTGTTTTGTTCACTTTCAATGAAAATGACTTTTTAGTTCAGAAATTTTATATGTACCAGTAGATCATTTTTATAATGTGTAATAAACTTTTTCCATCACATGATGGCTTAAATTTCTAGTCAAGTATTCAATGACTTGGTAAAGAAAGTGTTTAATCTACAAAGAGATGTTGAATTGTAACAGTTGGAGAAGGGGTCCTGTATGGTCAATGTTCCATTTCCCTGCCAGTGCAGTATTTGTCTTCTGTTGATGCTAGTTCATAGTCTATGCTAAAAGTTGTAAATTAAAGTGTTTTTCATTTCTCTTGGGCGAGTACTGTTATCCAAAAATATTGGGAGAATATTGTTATCCTATCTTTCAGAAAAAGGTTTTTATTTTTCACTGATTTTTTTTTTTTAACTGTCTGTTAAGATCCCTCAAATTATCTTGCCACAGCCATGTCTTGCTTTGTTACTACTTACCACTCTGAATTCTTTTCTCCTTGATGTTTACAATTGTAACATTTAGAGGAAATGAAATGTTGTTTGATACAATACTTCATTTGTTACAGTATTTCAAATGCTCTTAACTGCCTGTAAGTGAAGAATATTCTTGCTTTTAGCCATAGGGATAAAAGCTAAATAAACTTGTTTCATGAATAGATCATTATCTTATCACTGTTAGTAACATTTTCCTGTAAGGCTCACTGTGTTTACAATTAAGGAAAAATATGTGCACTATTCATGTACAATTCAATGTCAACTCAAACTCTATGAAAAGAGCTAATACATTTTTCAGAGTTGACTATGAACCTAATATTTTTGTGGAACTTGTCTGTCTCTGTTTAAAGTAAAATCACTTACACCAGCTGGTGGTCTGTGAGCTGTATGCAGCTGGTGAGGGGAGAATTTGCAGCTTCTGGGCTCCCACTCCTCTACTGTTGCTCCACCCTGTTGTTCCTGCAACAACAACGTGGGTCTCTGGGCTCCACCTCTGCCCTCCAGTTTCCATTCCCTGCCACAGGGGGCAGGGCAGTGGAGCTTGCCCTGCCAGGGAGGCCTGCAGTGCTGCTGTGGTGTGGTGGGAGAACTCATCTGGAGAGCTGAGGCCAGAACATGGTGTGGGTGAAAGGTGGGGGGGGGGTCTGGCATATGATGTGTGGGGGAATGGTGCTGATACATGGGTGAGATACAGCAATTGCTTAGAAGTTGGACAACCTGATCTAGGCACGCTTATGTGCCTATCCTTGCATAGTTAATGTAAAAAAACATTTTTAAGTCTTAGTTGTCATGAAGCTACACTTGAAAACACTAAGTACAGGATATTATTTCTGGAAGTAACTAAAAGTGTGACTAAATAGAGATATCACTTGTTAATAACTGAAAATGTGGTTTATAAGCAACTTTTATGGCTTTGGTATAACAGTGTATGAAATAAGCCAGAGTTCTCATAGTAATGGTACATTCATTTTTGCATGTTGACTGCAGAGTACAGAGCTGCAGTAGCCTTTACAATGCAATCCCAGATCCTTTGGCTCTGTAATCACCGCTACTCTGAGAATCTTAAATATAAGGCTGGAAAGTACCTGAGTAGGTCATGTAGTCAGTCTCCTGCTGAGATATGTTCAAGAATTTCTGCACATTCCCATTTCTCTAAGTTGTTCATGACCTCTGAACTGAATATACTAAGAGGAAATACTGCATCAACAATCTGCTTGTTTTAAGATCTATTTAAAACCTATCTACCTTGACATGTATTCCTTCCAGTTTGTGCTATATTTCTGATTGAAACGTCTGGACTAGTTCAATACTAGGGCTTTACCGATGCTTTTGTAGGTTGGATTTTACTTTTGGTGTTTGAGGTATTTCAGTATTGACCTACTTAGTGATGCAAGTGCTATGATTTAGAGCCCATTGTAACTGAAGATGTGATCACTTATTTCCTGAAGATCTGTGATGCTTATACACTTTTGTATTTTTTGAGTTTGTCAGACTGTCTAGTACCAGTTAGAGGTTGATCCATGTTGAGGGCTATAAAAAACAGTGTAAGGTGGCCACCCGTGACCTGCTCTGCTTTGAGTTCATGAGACCCTTTTGACTGATCTAATGCTGAAGAGTTTTCTAAGGAGCTAGGAGTATTTTCTTACTTGCAGCTATCTCCAGGATCAGTAGGAGCACCTCCAAAGGAGACATGGGGGAGGAGAGAGGTGTAGTTGGGGAGCTGCTGATACAGGGGAAAGTTGCACTAGGTCTACTTTTGGCTCTCAGAAGCAGCTTATTTTGCCTCAAGACTTGAAAATCTGAAAAATGCTTTTGAGACATGACTAGAAATGTTCATACCATGGGCATGTTAGCTCAGGAATCCAGTGCTAACTTTAGTGTCAACAAACACTATATTTCTGTGTTCAAAAACAATGGCACTCCACCATTTCCCTGCAGATTATTTATTTAAATTTTGCTGCCAGATGGACAATTGCCCCTTCATAGGAGCATCCGTCTTTGAAATTAAAGTAGATGTGAAAGCTTGGTGCATGCCACAGCATATAGAACTAAAATGGGGGAGGGGTACTTAAGAACAGGTGACAGACCTGCAGCAGGAGAACAGCCAAGATATTTTGGTCTTTTGGGGGCCTAGAAAGCCACATTTGTTCACATGCAGTGCAGGGAGAACTCTGCATGGCTTGAGGCTAAGGAGCTGTTTAAAATTAAAAGTACCTCAAGGAGTGGGAGTTAAAGAGGATACTTGTGGAGATATTTCAAGAGGCTGCAGGCTTGCTACCCAGTGTGTTTGATGCAAATATTGTAAGCCCCAGTGGAGGAAAAAAGGAGCCCCACCTTCCTATCTCTGTTTGGACTTCCTACCTTCCCCCCTTCCAAGGCATGCACAGACTTTTCTGATAGATGATGGGAGCCAGGGGCTACCTGACTAGGTAGATGTTGAGGATGGCAAAACTTCAAAATGCAATGCTGAGCTGTAGGTGGCGGTAAAAACAGGAATCATATGCGTGCTACAGATACTCAGCAATGAGGAAAAGGCATTAAAGACCAGCTTGGTCCATGGTACAGACAATACAGAGCTGAGAAGAATTAGTTGACCCTCCTTTAATTTGCAATGTGGAGGAAGGATTTGAGGACTGGCTATACAGAGCTCCAATGCTGAAGAATGTAATCCATGCCTTTTAGCACCCTATTCCCAGTATCTAGTAGCTGAAGAGCAAAGAGGAAACTTTCTTACAGCTATCTTCCCTCCACAGTTTTTTTTTCCAAGCATGCTTCTGTTTCTATATCCACTCCAAAAAAAATGACACTCAAAGTTTTCATTAATGAAACTTCATTAATGAAAATGTTGCGTGTGAATTCAGTAGATTCCCATACCCTTGCAAATGTGATTTGGGTACGATGATAATTCTTACCACATCAGGCAGTGTCCTGCTGAAACACACAATGAGAATCTGTACCTACCATGTCGTGAACCAGAAACAGTGTAACACTGTGTTTGTGTTGCTGTGGCCAGGCTAATTTGACACTCCTGCTGATTTACACTGTTGGAAAAACCATAATGTAATTCTAGATCCCTAACTCTTCCCTTGAAAGGCTGCCAGTAGAAAGCACTGTGAACTACTTTAATCTTCTTTCTTATTAAACCAGCCATTTTCTTTGTGCCCATCAGGCCCTAAGTTCAGCACTTCTTTTCACGCACTGACAATATTCTATGTAGTAGCATTGATAAAGGGCAGAGTTACTTCTGAATTTTAACGCTTACATTACACAGAAAGGCTGAGGGGAAGAGGCAAGTTTCCATGGCTACCTCTTTGCTACAAAAAAGTGTTTTTTAACTTGAGAAACTGTCTCATCTTGCCTAGAACTTTAATTTTTTTTATGAGGATTTCAATTAGCAATTACTCTTCTTCAGGCTTTTACTTTGATTTTTAAGAACACGCCTCTTTCATAGTGAAGACAAAGTGCCAGAAAATGTGTCTATGCTTGATTTTTTTGTTTGTTTTTTGCTCAAATTGAATTCATTTGCAGTTTAATACTAGTCTGGACCTTTCACAAACATTTAGCACAGGAGAAATATTTAGCCTCAGGCTAAAATAAACTTCTGTTTATTTCCTGGGGGGAAAAAAAGTTTGTGGGGCATCCAGAATAGCATGTCAGATGATTGAGTTAACTGGAAATCAAGTATAAACAGACCTAGGGAGACTTCTCTTAGATTACGAATCAAGAGAGGCAGAGTTCAGGTTGTGTTGGGGAATCACCTTGTAACTATTTTTCCAGTGTTCATGTTTTGGGAAGAGCATAGGATGTAAAGGACTCTGGGTACCAGCAGCTCGTCACCTTTTTGCATGTGTATTGCTAAATAGATGACATTTTAAAATAATCTATTAGTACAATTTTATAATCCAGCACTTTAAAGACTAGATTTTATTTTTGGTTCTATTAAATGGCTTTATTTAACACACAATTTACTGGTACTATTCCAGCTTCCAACTGTCCCTAGATACTATATTTCAAAAATGGAAATAGTTCATCCTTTTGTTTAGCAGCCAACAGTTTTAGAGCGTTAAGATACTTTAAGATGCTTTGTCAAGTAGTACAAAATGTTATTTGTTCTCACTGTAGCTACTCCTGAAAGTGAGATTTTTAGGTGTTCAAAATTTAACGTATTTCTGTTAAACAGAAGTATCAGGTCAGGTTGGGGAGATGGGAACATTCCTAATGTAAAATGTTTAAAAACGTACTTTGGAAGGTAAAATAGACTATCATAATAGCAGACTATTAGGTGACTGTCTTCAAATAAGGACAGGAAGTAGGGATGATTTGATGTGTTGTATAAATTGTGCTCTTCTCATTACCACATTTTACAGGTGCCCTAAACATAGGGGCTTGTTACTGACTATGGCAACATATCAGTTATGCTAGTAATGTTACTGAAACTAAAAGGGCTTTCGGGGTGCTTGAGTGACTTGCAATGTAGCTTATGCTTTTAAGTCTCACAACTTTTCAAAAAACAACCCTTAAAACTTTCTGATGAAAATATTCCAGTTATTTATCCTGTGCTAGAAACTCTGAACTCTACTGTGCCTAACTGAATTTACTTCATCAGTTCTGTATATCCATTCTCCAAAGTTACCAGGAGCCACTGCTTGTAGCAAAACCAAGGTTAGTTGTTGGCCTTTGGCAGCATGGGTTCTCTCAGTGATGGATGAGAAAGTTAATGCAAATACTTTTTAACTTTTATGGATGTGGTCACATGTTTTACAGTTTAACTGCTACAAATAATATGCCTACATCAGCTGGATCACTAGAAGAAATTCCCTGGCTGAATATGTACCACCTATGAACAAGCCAGTCATTATCAGGTGCAATAAAATTGTAAGACGAAGGTGATTTTTCTTAGGAAGAATCATAAAAGGAATGTGACACGTTAATTTATGGCACAGCCTAAATGCTATTGCTATACCTTTCCACTACATAAAATTATAGAGTTTTAATTTTTGCCTCTTTCCAAATGACATCTTTTACCTATGTTTTTTTGTTCTGAAAATGTCATCAACATTTCCACTTCTGAGAGTATCTCATACCTAAAGCTGCTATCTGCAGTATGTCAAGGAAAGCAGTGGACAGCTGCAGAACTCCCAGAGGTGGCAGAACTTGAGAAAGCTTTTCTAGCACTAAACCAAGCATCAGCTTTGCATTTAGTTAGAAGTCATCAAATATTCCTCTTCTGAGCTGTTTGGGGAATGGTTGC